GCCCTGTTCTGACTTTTTTCTAGTTCCCTGTCTAGAACTTGTACTGCTAATTACTCTTGCCTTTACTTCTCCTTCACATCTCCTGTTCACAATTCAAGGACTTTCTTTTTCCCTTAGAGACAAGAGTTATACAATTTGGGAGTCTTTTAGATTGACCCACTGAAGGGGTATTCCAGTTGCCTCACCGTGCATCCCCTGTTCAGCATGGAAGAAGCCAGAGCAATCTGCATCCTGCTCTTCAGAGGATAGTGTGATAAAAATAGGAGGTAGGAATTGGCTAGGCAGTTAGGGTAAAAAGACCCCAAAGAAAAGTAGCCAGTTTTTGGCTAAAATCACAATGTTCTTGGGCCTCTTAGCAACATACTCCATTCCAAAGGCCAAAATCTCAAAAGTATTTGGGAGTTTTTTATCTAATCCTTAAAAGATTTTAAGGTTAGCTCTTCAAAGGGGGAATGTTAGAGTAGCCAAAAGCCCCATAAAAAATATAAATAAATTTTCAAAAAAAGCATGTTCAACCAGGTGTGATGATGTATGTCATTAGTCCCTTTAGTTAGTCCTCTCAGGAAGCAGAGGCAGGTGGATCTCTGTGAGATTAAGGCAAGCCTGATCTACATAGTGAGTTTTCAGGCCATCTGTGGCTATGGCTATAGGTAGACCCTGTCTCAAAAAGCCTTTAAAAAATGATCATGTTAGGGGGCTAGAATGATAGCTTACTGCATAAAGTGCTTGCTATGCAAACATGAGGACCTGAGTTCAATCCCCAGAACCCACATAAAAAATCTAGTGTGGTAGCATGTGCTTGCAATTCCAACAACAGGTGGGCAGAGACAGGAGGGTTCCTGAGGCTTGCTAACTAGCCAGTCTAGCCTAATTGGCAAGTCCCAGGTCTCAATAGATCATGTCACAGCAAAGTGAACAACTCGTGAGGAACAGTACCCAAGGTTGTTGATCTCTGGCATTCATATGCACATGCACACATATGTACACACCATACACAAACACACACGCACACACACACACACACACACACACAAAATCATGTTAAAGGACTATCCAGAACCTAGAGATAGATCTTAGTACCCAGTGCTAGCATGCTTTAGAAAACTAAGCATGCTTTAGAAAAGTATGCAGAAATGTGTATGCCCCTTATAAACCAGTGAATTCTGAAAGGCTTTAAGTACACAAAATGACCAAGAGTGATTTAAGTTTGGGAAGACACATTGGTCCATCAAAGTTTTAAACTTAGGCAACTCTCTGTCTTGCTGTATCATTTCTGTTGGGTCACTTTATTCAAAATAGACCAGTTCTTATATACTGAAAATTGAAAGAAAAAAAAAATAGCCCTTGGTGAGTGCAATTGCCATACAACACTGCTTAGCAGTTCACTTGAGGGACTGTAAGGCTGTGTGCATCTAACCCTACAGAACCTTGACCCTACAGAACCACCCCTGGATTTAGCATAAGTTTCAGAAAGAGTTCTAAGCACACCTGGCTTTTAAATGCTTACATGTAATTTCAGCCGTCACCTGAATTCTCATTTGGATTTTAGGTATTCAATGTAGTTACTCATTCTCTAATGACACATTCAAACTTGTTTCCACTTCTTCCATTGCTTTTCCTCGATTTTTGCAGACTACTGTTCATTGCATAGGCTCAGCCAACGTTTCCCACATGTTTTCCATCTTTCTTTGTCTTTTAGGATCAGCCCAGTACAGTCAGGGGTGTAGCTCAGTGAGAGAACTCTTGCCTGGAATGGCAGAGGCCCTGGGTTCAGTCTCCAATGTGGACAGATGATCCATTTCTTCTTACTTATATAGAGCATCGGTGACTCTTCTTACCACATTGAATTTGTTATCTCTTTGTTTTCTTCATAATAAATCTCTTCTTATCAGCACATTCAATACTCTTCATTGGTTTTGCAATTATCAGACAGATGGGGTTACTAATGTTACAAAATACCCAACACTAAATACAGAAAACCTGCTGCTAACAGAAAACTAGTTAGCCAAGGCTGAAATCACCATGGCCAATTACTACTGTTGCCGTCTGCAGGGGGGGTGGCGGGGCAGGGAAGCTGAAATACTATGGCTT